AATAATAAAATCTCTAAACTTTGTGCAAAACTCAGGAAAAATCATTAAATTTGCACACTAATTTGCAACTTTTTATTCAGATTTTCTAGAAAAATCGTAAGTATGCAGTTTTATAGCCCATTCAATTTTAGTATAACAAAGTGCAAGTTTGAAGTCGCTACAAAATCGCATTGATTTTTGGTAATATTTTTTCACGCAAGTTCTTCCATACAAAGTAATTCGACAATTATTTTTTTTATGGAAAAAATGAGCAACACCTTCCACTAAAAAAAATGCCAAAAATCAACGCGATTTTCTAGCAACTTTAAACTTGCACTTTGTTATACTAAATTTGAATGGGCTATAAAACTGCATACTTAGGATTTTTCTAGAAAATCTGAATAAAAAGTTGCAAATTGGTGTGCAAATTTAATGATTTTTCCTGAGTTTTGCACAAAGTTTAGAGTTTTTATTATTGCGTTTTCTGGTGTAGAATGAACTATATTTTTATAAAAAAATATCTAAAATAAATTAGAATAAAAACCTTTGCATATATGGCGAAAAATTCACTGTGCCAATACTTTTGTTCGTCACTGTATATTTTTCAGAAAAAATTCAATGTTCAGATTTATTTTCAAACCTACTTGAGAAAACGGCCTTTAGCTTTTTTGTTTGGTAGGTGGCATTTTGTATACACAAAGAGTTTACTAAAAAATTTAGAAACAACACTTTTAAACTTAAGGTACGTGGTATCGATGTCTAAACTATAAGCTTTCGTTTCAATTGAAGTTAGGCTGATATAATCTTCATCGAAATATTAAAAAAAAAAATAATATATGTAAATTTGTGATTGGTGGGACAGGTCCTTGTGACTGGTGTAAAATTATTATGTATGAAATAAAAGTTTCCACAGACAAAATTTGCTGTTTCTTTTAATTTTTTTCAACAGGTTAACGAAATGTAATAATTTAAAGGACATTTTAAAATTGATGTCGTTTTCCTCTTTTGATCCATTGACCCATTTCATTTTTTTATTTTATTTGATTTAAAAAACAATTTTCAAATTATAAGATTTTTCTCTCGGAACCTAAAGCTGCTAAATATGTACATATGTATTTGTATGTATGTATGAATGGGTAGCCATTTCAGTCGTAAAATGTGTGCTATATACATAGCTCATAATCTTGACATTGATATCAGTTGCTCGACATTTTGATCTTTTTAGCATTTTATGACGTAGCAATTTTTTTTTTTTTTTATTCTTTTTTTTTATTCTATTTTTTTTTGTATCTATATACTCATTTTATCATATTCTGGCATCGTTTCGAAGATAGGTTTTAGGAATGCTGTTACTTATTCCAAGTTTTTTGATGCAGAAATGTTCCTAGAGCGTCTAAATGCATTTTTGTAGCAAAAATACAATTAAAAAAAAAAATCCGCTTAAGTTTTTTTGCGGTTAGGGCTCGACCCGAAGCAGTTTTCCGTGCTTTTATAACAATTTTCAATAACCGATCCGAGTGGATCCGAGTTTTTTAGTCAGTGATACCGGATTTTTTAAGACAAAAAAAAAATATAAAAAATAAAAAACAAAAAATTTACACTATTTTTCGTAATTTTCAATGCGTAAAATAAGGCCTTTTTCGAACTTTTTAGAGTACGCGTAAAACAAATATAAATCAAAATTTTTACAATTAAAAAAATATATGTACATATTTTTATATTATTACCTTCCAAATCTGTTGGCCACTTTGGCTCCCGTTAGCGATCCTATCGCGCCGCCCACAAGAAAAATTGAAACAATCGTCGACCACAAAATATTGATGCCCGTCTCAGTCAGGTGCCAGTCATAACGTTCTATCAGCGTTTGATTACACCAACTTCGCATAAACTACGTACAAATAAATAGCACATAAAAAATATCTGTATCTAAAAATCTGCGAAAAAATAATGAGTGGCGACGCTACACACCTCAGCAGGACTATTCATTACACCAACAAAGTAACCACTCGGCACAGCCGCACCGATTGTCGATCCAAAAGCAACAAAGGCGAGTTGTTTCGTCCATCGTCCTTCCTAAAATGGCAAGGACAATGAAGATTGAAGAGTGCAATTGCAATAGTAAACAATACGCCACACTTGCTTGCCCCGTACATTGCGCAAACTTTTGTGGACTAATTCTTGTTCTTCATGCTGCTTCAAGGCCGGCAAACTCTCTTGCGATGCCTTCTTGTAGATCTCCGGTACCTCACACTGTGACGCCTCCATTTCGTTTGACTTTGTTCACATAATCAACAATGGTTTTTAATATATATAAAGCAATTTAGATGCTACCAGTGTTTTTTTTTTATCTATGCGAGCACCTCTGGATATGTACATACATATTTTATAAATGAAATCGGCGTTAGATTAGCTCCTGTTTAATATCTGAGATGAATGTATGTATGTATGTAGGGAAGCATGTACTTCAAAGATAACGTCGAATGTAATTATGTAGTTGTGAAAGTTAGATGCCATTGAAATAAGCGTTTCGCTATTAATTCATACTAAATTGATAAGCTGATGTGGTTGAGTGAAGTGCAAATTTGGTTTGGCGGCTAGGTATCCGGAGGGTAAGGCAATAAACAAAGCAAATATCTATTTGTTGAGTAAATAAAAGAATTATGTGACATTTATATTTACGTGGGGTGATCCACGATAAACAGAAGAAAAGTCAAAATCTCATTTAACTGAAACCGTACCAAATATGCTTTGTCATCTAATTTTGGAGCCCGTGCTATCTCGCAAAGTTCTCAGGCAAGACAATGTTTTTTTTTTTTCAGAGGAGGAAGCAACGAATGCCTGAGCGCAAGTACCGCCATTGTGAGACTCTAGCCCAATAAACCTCCTACCGTCGATGTACCGATCCCGCAAGTACCACTGTTATGTATTTCACGTGGAGGGGTAGGGGACAGTTTGAGCAGGAAGCTTTAAGTCCGTTACCCCTCATATGATTCCACCCACCTGTTGTTGGTTTCGTATTAAACCTACCCACCCCATTGGTCCGAGCCGAGTAGCTCCCGGAGACTCCCGTGTGCATCACTGGTCTAAATGCATCCATCCAGATTTTAACTCCATATAAGAGTATTCGGGATACCATCGGGCTCTGGAGTTTTTAGAGTTAGGTTTATGCCTTCTCTAAGGATCTCATCAGTGGTTACTGAAGGGATACCAATGTAAGCACGCTCCGTGGTCTTACGAACATGTGCACAATACCCTGAACAGCCCTGATATATTTTTATGTTTTTTTTCTTTTTCTTTAACTCTATCAAACGGGACAAAAAAACACGACCTGTAGATAAATGTTCCCAACGTGAACTTTCAACTTCGTCTCTAAATGAAATGTCAAAATTGGGCTCTCTCTTTATCACTCGCAGCCTCCTAGTGCCCAGTTTCTGACGGTCGCCGATGGTGAGAGTGCTATAACTAGTTGCGGACCAAGCAAGACCTGCTCTAAAAAGCATAGTCCGCCGTATAAGCTGAGGCAAACCTACATTCTTAGAAGTAGAACGGTAAGCTTTGAGTAGGCAAAAGAGTTCCAATAGTTAGACATTAAACTGAAGTCCAAGGGATTTCATATGACAGAATTCAACGTTTTCTCCCTGAGAAACTTTGTATGAAAATGTTGCCGGTTGAAATTACTGCGACTGGATGATTTGGCCTACAACGTCTTCTCTTTTCCCGCAGGGCTCTAGGAAGTATTTCATGTTCAAGAAACTCTTGAAATGATATAAACACTAAATGTAGTTAAGACTTCTATTTATTTGATTTGTTAAACCATGTTTCATGTATTTTCATCAATTACTACTACTTTTTGTCACCCCTCGTGAATAAGTACTTTTGTATATTAAGATGCATCACTCCATAAAAAAAATCGTTACTGTTTTCCATTCAAATTGTAAAATTTATTCGGCCTTATTGCGAATTTCATGTGAGCAAATATTCCCAAAAATTATAAAGCAAAACAAAAACAATTTTTCCCAATTTGTTTTTGTTTTGCATGTTAAATTATGTTATGGGAGCGATTTATTCACATGTAGTTGGCAATATGGCTGATTATATTTAAAGATTTTCGCCAAAATAATTCGAAAAAATATTAAGATTTACGTGAGCTAGGCACATTTGCAAATACCTGCAAAAACGAGTTTTTTTTTATTAATAAAATTAGTTTTTAAATATATTATTTGCAGAAAATTCACTCAAATGATAGAAGAGTTTAAGCTTAAAAGAGGTCTGCATACAAATATTTAAAAGTTTTATCAATTGCAGGTATTTTCAAATCGGTCTAGCTCACAGCAAATCTTAATATTTTTCCGAAATATTTTGGCGAAAGTCTTAAAATATCAAACATTTTATAATTCAGGTGGAAAATCCGCAACATAATTTAGTGAGCCGCCCTAATGTATATGTGTATGTACCAGACATCTGCAGCGGGTGCATGATTTTCGTGTACACTCGATCATCTAACAAAACCCGTTTTGCATCGTTCTCTGTATACGAGCAGAAGTATTGTTCGTTATCGACTGAGCTCAAGACGAACATGTTGGCCACAACACCCGATTGCTTTTCATACATACTTGATTGGGTTCGGGTGCTTTGCAGCTCAATATACCCGGGTGTTCGAGTTTCAACCCGAGTGTGCACAAAATTTTCTTGATTGGCTTATGACGTTTTTGTTTCTACAAAAAATGTTGCCTTCTCATCGCGGTGTTCTTAGTTTTTGTGCGTAGAGGGTAAAGAGAAGGTTGAATTTTTCGGTAGTTTGTTTAAGTGTACATTTAACCATTTCTTATATTTTTGCTCATACAAAATGCGGCATCACGACGCCTACATCCATTTAGGTATAAATGTGTGTAGATCGGCAATGCCCAAGCCCTATACACTCGGTGCACATTTATTTTTTGTAAAAGTACTTATGTACCTACATAGTTTTAGGCTGTGTTCTAATATATACACACACAGCTTTCCACGCGAAACTATACGAAATAGATGCAAAAACATTTTTGTCTACTTCGCTTCTAATTTTTTCATTGCGTATGCACAAGCACAAAGCAACAACATTTTCGTATGCTTTGTGGGAACATATTGGCGCCAGTTACCTTCAGCGTAAATTTCTTTGTTGTCCTGCATTTTATCGCAATGTTCGGGTGTCCGTTTCATTGTTACACAAATTTTCGGGTTAGCTGCGGGTGTCCGAGTGTGGTGTTCGCTTGTGCTCAATTTATAGCGAGGGTGATCGAACAGACTCGTTCGTAACCAAAGCAGCTGTCGGGTATGCATCTCGATCGAACACATAGTAGCCGAGTGTGGCGTTCGCTTGTGCTTGATTTTTAGTGAGTGTGATCAAAAAGGCTCGATCATACTCAAAGCTGTTCTCTGGTATGTACCTATTTAAGTATAAAAATTTTTTTTTTTCTGGATAAAAATACGTTCTTATTTAGAAATATGAGTGGAATTTCACGACGAAATGTATTCTGATGTGATAATTAAAGAAATTACTACTGAAAATAATTTTGATATTTAAATACAGATTTAATTTGTTTCACATATCTCAAGAATTGTATTTCTTTTTACTCACACTCGTCTGCCATGGCCGGGAGGGAGGCTACTACTCACGTGCCGGTTGATAACACTACGCTGGGGGAAAAAAAGTAAAAGAAAAATGTTTTTCTATTTAAGCATTAGCGATAAAACATATGTATGTATTTTGTAGATTACACCGCGTATTGTGGGATAAGCTCAGCCCAACTGCTTGCGCACATTCTACTTACTTTTCTACTTTTATTATACTTTTTATACTTATTCAGTGCAACATTAGATTGGAAGCTCAAGTGGAAAACCTGTGCGGGTCGAACTGAAGGTAAATCGACTACAGAAAGTTTTCGGACAGTGTCGGAGAGCATTTGGTTGCCTGGGTGTAGTGCTTCCTAGCAGCTGTCTAGGATTCAAGTAGAGGGCTTTTACGTTATTTTGTTGCACTTCTCAGTTTTCATGGCGACAGAAGCTTTTTCTATAAAATCACCACATTTTTTCAGTTGGTATAGATATTACAAATAGCAAAAGAAAAAAAACTGAAAAAGTGCCCCGTTTTCCACGATGAAATTTCAAAGAGGGCTATCCAGTGTCACTGCTTCGGTTTGATCTAAGCAGGCTCCTGCCTTCGCCAATTTATTAGCCTAGGGAAATGCTTGTATCCCTCCCCAATCGTAGAGACAGATCAAAACCTAGTTCATCACACTAGACACCGTTAGCCATCTTGGATCCGTTGATGTATAGAGAGTTAGCCTGTCTTTCAATCACTCACTCTCTTCTCCATTCTTTTCTGATTGCAAAAGCACTTGCACGTTACAGCCGAATGTCTAGCATATAATCTGTCTTCCCTCCTCATGCATTTCATTAATGATCAACCTATCTCGGAAGTGCCTAATCTCTGAGTCTGACCATCGATTTCATAGCCACTTCTTTCATATGAAGATCGATAGGGAGCAGGTTGATGATAGTATTTAGCGCTTCCATCGAGTAGCATCTTAGTACACCTGTTACCCCTGCGCCTACTGCTGTCTATATCCGGGCTACCATACCAGAGCGCCGTATGTCAATGTTGATCTAATGATAGCGGCATATGTATGTGAATTCACATCACAAGTTTAGGTTTAGCCCCCAGATTCTCTTGCAAGTCTTTTCCGATTTCGTTTGCTATCCATACCCATAAAAAATCATCATCAAAAAAAAATTATAGGAGTCTAAAATACCAACTCACTTAGACCCTGCAGGCCCATCGTGAGACCACTGTGAAACACAGAAATTTCATTGATTGATGAAACCATTTCGAGGCTATTTAGTATGAAGCATAGGATTGGTTTTATTCCTACACCGGATAGTTCCGTGAGAGAGCTAAAGAATTGTTTATCTAAAAAGCCTGCTCTGCTCTTAGCTAAAGCTGGACAACTGCAGAAGAAATGTTCGACTATTTCTATTTAAAGCTGTTATAAGTGTCTTCATGTAATCATGACCTACTGGCTTCTGGAATATTATTTCTAATCATTAATTTACCCATGCCAGGTATCCCTATCTGTTATATATAACACAGTGGGAGGTTGTTACCTTTCCTGAGGAGGCTTGGAGATATGTATAGAAGTTCAACAATAGCGGGGAGAGGACAACACACTGTGGTTCCCCTAGCTTAATTTTTCTTGGTTTTGATGTTTGATCTCGAAAGGTTACTGACGACTGCCGAGCATTCATATAATTCGCCGACCTACGTTTGAGTCCCTGTGGAAGAGAGGAAGTCTCGATGTCTTCTAGTAGCGTGGAATTACATACAGTGTCAAACGCCATTGATTAAGCCAACGCCATTAAGATTGTTCTCTAACAGGGGCGGTTATGGTTTAGACCACGAGTCTTATCGCGTTAAGTGCTGTGGTGGTCGCTAAGCACTTTACGGGGGTAGCGAGGCATCTGTGTTTTCGAGACGGAGGAGGAGATAAGACTGCCCTTTGTTAGCCGGATTCCCCGGTTTCAGGAAGAGGACTACTTCCTGATTTCTAAACGACAGCAATGATGGGAGTGGCAATTGCCCTGCTACTCCTGCCGAACCTAAAATTTCGCGCCAATGACTTTGGAGGCTTTCGCCTCTTGTGTGAGCTTCGTGTTAGATGAGCTGGTTACCGTAAGCCACACGGCGTGTGGGCAGGTGATACCGTATAGCTTGAGCAACAGGAAGCCACAAAATTTGTAGTCCACTGCCTGTGATCCGTTAGAACAGAAGTGAAGTTCAGGCAAACGCAGCGGAAGTAGATTTCTGGTCCGGTGTTAGGCTCTTTGCCCGCCCGGAAAAGGACGCTCCATCTGATTAACCCGCCTATGATAGCACGGCTTTTCCGTTGCTCAAATTGTGTTTAGAAAATCAACTTGGCATTTTTCTGCATTTTTACAACGCTTTTATCAATTGCAATGTTGTGCGTCCAGGAACTTTCAATGTTGTGGATCCAGAAACTTTCAATGTTGTGTGTCCGACACCAAAGCAAAGCTTTGAAAAGTTCCTATAAAAAAGCATAGTGCATAGGGCGACAGCTGTAGTGAATAGGGCGAGGTAGATGACATCTAGATGTCGCCCTATGTACTACGTTTGCTACAGCGGAAATAGACGACACGCCATTTCTTTAAATAAAATTAATTGGTGCTCGTTTGTATGTTCATACATATGTAAATGCATGTGTGTGCACCTTTCTATTAATATCGTTGAATTATTTTAATATCTATTGCAAAATTTTATTCAGACAGGACCAAAAAG